CCCAGGTCCTCTTTCACAGTGCTCAGTATTAAATATATCTGTATGTGTAAATTTACTGTAACTTTCATTTTCTTAATGAGATGGTTAAATACCTTTTTTTTCTTTTTTTGCCAACTTAAAAATATCAATTTCTACAGATTGAGATAAGTCAAATGTCTACTTACATTTAATTTATTTAGTTCATATGCCAATTTCAATTGGGGTATAAAATAATACATCATTTTGGGGCACTGGGTGGCTCAGTCTGTTAAGCGGCCGACTCTTGGTTTCGGCTCAAGTCATGATTGTGGGGTCGTGGGATCGAGCCCCACATCGGGCTCTATGCTCAGTGTGGAGTCTGCTTCAGATTCTCTCTCCTACTCCCTCTCCCTCCAGGTCATGCTCTCTCTCTGTCTCAAATAAATAAATAAAATCTTTAAAAAATAGTAGCTTATTTTAGAGCATAGCTTTTTTCTCATGCTCCCATTTCATGAAATCTGGACTCTTATATGCATAGGGCCATCTGTGTCTCCAACACTCCCTCAGCTACCCAGAAGAGGCATTCGTTTTATTAGTGAGCGCTGCTTTATGCTTGCCACAGTGGGGACCCATTTGTCTCAAGCCTGGCCAGCCCTGGCTGCCACGCGGGGTGACAGGAGTGGTTAAGTTAGCCAGTTGGCTGTGCAGCATATTCAGCACAGAGGGGCTACAGACCTGGTAGAAGTGTACCCACTCCTCTAATTTAGGAGCATATCCTAAAAGGATGGCCTCTCCACCTACTACATTTGGCCAGATAGATCACTTTCAGTTTTGATCACCCAGGGGAATTCCACTCACATGGTCTGTGAAGCCCAAAGCTCTCTTGGCAGCTACTCCTAGAATTCGCTTCTGAGTCTATAAAAGCAAGGTCTTTGGGAAGAGCCCAGGGCTCTCTCGTGGCCTGTTATCTTACAGATAGCTAACTAAACTTGACTTTCTAGAAGCCAAACTCAGAAGAACCTGGGGAGGGAATCTTGTGCCCTTGGGTCAGACCCTTCCTGAATAAGTTATTTGAAGACAGCAGGTAACTAAGGACCGAATAATAAGAAGACATCTCAGTATTGATGCAATTCTTTGTTCAAAAAACCTGGTTCTGAGCACTGAAACCAGTTAACCATACAGATAATTCCAAAGAGTTGTATACATGGGACTAGAAGAGTGAAAATATAATGTAACTATACCTGTAAAGCAAGCCTACACCATCCATATACATTTGTAGATGGTTGGAATTCTGTCACAGTGGCTTAAATCTCTGATAGCAAACAGCTATAGTGTTCATTAATTGCTCCCTCCATTTGTAAGTAAGTACAATGCCCTAGACAATTTGTTCTGGTCTGGGGATGTAATAGTCGACAAGGCAGTCTTATAGACCTTTGATGACTTATTTATGAATGTGTTTCACCATCCCAGAACACATCAGAGTATTTCATACTCTCCTGTCTTTGCACCTACTGCCCCCCCTGCTATGGGTCACTTCTTTTTGATACTTCCTCCTCTGCCTCGCAGGCTCCTACTCATCCTGCAGAAACCTCATTACCCTTTTTGTGCAGGTTTCCCCTAAACTCTCCTTGTCACTCCTCCCCCGCCCCTGATAGGATTATCTCCTCCCTGCTGTATGCTGTACTCTATCTTCTAAGTGCTTCTCCTCCTCCTCCTTTTTATTATGCTGAATGGCAGTTTTATTTGTGTCTTTCTCCCAATAGACTGGGAGCATCTTTGGGAAGAAAGTGTATTTTTTTCCATTTCTGCATCATAATGCCTAACACATACTAAACACTCAGAAAATGTTGCGGGATGGCCTTTTAAGCAAGTTCAATGTCTGGTTGCTTACTGTTGAAACCTCTTTTTTAAGAGCTGGAGTGTCACCTAGGTGACTGGCATTCCACCTGGTAATTCAACTTCCTGTCCCCACTTGTAAGTCCTCAGAGGACTCTCAGAGCCAATTGTGTTTTGCTACCCCTGACCAAGTTACTGGTCAAACCAATCATCTGTCCACTCCAATTACCTACCCTATGTGCTTTTTATGAGAATCTACTGCTTTGCCACCCCCTTGTGCTCTCAGAGTTGTCTAATCTGTTCCCACCAGAAACCCAGTGGGGCAGACAGGGACTGTCACCCTCAGTCAGAGAAGAGCTCAGGGAAGTTGAGCCGTTTGCAAGGTTGTACACTTCGCAAGTAGAAAGTGGGAATTGGAAGTTGGATTTTCTGATTCCAAATCTAAACCAGGTTACTTTTCAGAGTGTGAAGGCTCCCTTGTCTACACATCCAGCAGGTATTATGTGTGCTATGTATTTTGTATGTGCCATGTATTATAGAGGAGGCTGAGAAGGTGAGGGTTATTTCCTAGAGGAACAAGCAGACACATGTAAAATGCAAAGAGACAATATAGAGTCAACACGGAGAATGCAGGAGAGATGAGAAAGAGAAAAACAGCCCTGGACAGTCAAGTGCTGACTTCACACTCACAGCTGGTCCTTGGTGCTGTCCTGGTGAACACTGGCAGGTGCACAAATGACCAACATCAGACAAGGTCGCCCTGTGGATATAATGGAGCAAGACAAACCCAAAACCATTCTGTAATCATGTGTGAGCACAAAACAAGACCACTGTCAAAACTACAAAAAGTCAGGCATCCTTATTTCCTGGCTTATAGGAGTGACTTCTGCTTCCTTATCAGTTATAACTTCAGCTCTACTTCATTCCTTTTGACCACTAGATAAGATTCATTAGGACCCCCAATCATAGAATTATCATCATCCTCACTTCCTGACACATCCAGTCCAGAGTAAAGCGCAATTGCTCCCTTGTAACCTCTCCCAAATCACACACCATCTCAAATCCTATGACAAGTTCCTGCTAATACTAATAATAACCTCTTACTAAGATGACTCATGGCATCTTCTCCATCATGGGCCATCCCCCTCATTACTGTGGGCCAGTAAAGCCAACCTGGTTTGACGAAGTGTGTTCCTGGTGGTCTTTGACTCACAGGCATACAGCAAATGGAGAAAGAAACACCAGATGTGTGGTACAGATAATAGTGATTCAAAGGCTTCCCATGAGACCTCTGGAAGTCTGTCAATTCCAGTTTCCAGCATGGATCTTGTCTCCTTTCTGAAAGAAGCTGAGATCCTCTTACTTCTTCTATTAGTCATGGCATAGAACAGGACTTTTCAACCTTGTTTGCGCATTGGAACCACTTGGGCAGCTTTAAAAACACAGATACCTGGGTTCCAACTCCAGAGATGCTGGTTTAATTGGTGTGGCTTGTGGCATGGGCATCAGCATTTTTTAAAGCTTGCAAGTGAGGCCAATATACAGACAAATTTGAGAATTACTGGTAAAATATGATTTCTCTGTGTGTGTGTGTGTGTGTGCGTGCGTGTGTGTGAACAACATAAGAGGATGTGAATGTATGCTTGACCATGAATGCTTGTGTGTATGTGATATTTGTGGTCGAGGAGGAATGTGTTTACGTGTGTTATGTAAAATGGGCTCTCTATGTGTGTGGCAAAGTGAGGCAGGCCTGTGGGAGGTAAGGACATCAGATGGCTGGGGGGCCAATTGCACCTGCAGTTTATCGTGGAGATGGCAGCGAGAGGGTGTCTATGCCAGGCTCGTTGGCAGTTGGGGAGGAGTAGCTGACTGGGGAACTGGGTGGGGAGAGGAGGCCCCCTTAGCAGAGCAGGGCTTGAGCAGCTGGTGGGAGCATCTAAAAACCCAGTGCTGCGGCAGTCACGTATGGACTTGAGGAGGATGCTCTTGTGATTCTTGTCTTGTGTTTGGGAAAAGATGGAGAGCTTGATTCGTCTACCTTTAAAAACTTACCGCCCCAGTTAATTTTGCTTCGAGCAGTGGTTGCCGACTTTTGTGGCATCAGGGTCGTCAGGAGAGATTGTTAAAACACAGCTTGCTGGGTCCCCTCCCAGAGTGTTTGTGTACATCTTGGGAGAGGCCTGAGAACTTGCATTCTAACAAGTGCCCAGGAGATGCTGCTGCTGGTGGTGGTCTTGGGACCACAAATTGAGAACCACTGGTTCAGAATAGTGGTTCTCAGTTTTCCCAGATGACTGCCTACTGGGCCCACTTGGGAAGTTACCTGTTCCTAGTTCTTATCTTGCACCACTTCAGTCAATCTGTGTGTGTGTGTGTGTGTGTGTGTGTCCTAAGCAATGGGAATTCTCAAAACTCCCCAGATGATTCTAATATTCAGCCAAAGTTGAAACCCTGCCTGGCAGATAAGCTTCACGAAGGCGGACATTTTTGTCTGTTTCTCTTTTGTTCACTGGTGTTATCTCTGGTGCCTAAAAATTGCCTGTCACTCAGTAGATGCCCAGTAAAAATTTGTTGAGTGAATGAGTGAATGCTACTTACGAGGTACCAGCCCTCCAAGACTGAGAGTTAACTGTTAATTCAGCATTTATCTGAGCACCTCCTGCAGGGAAGGAAGTATATGAGAGTACAATATTTTTGCCTCTTCACACTGAGGTTCTTGAACTGTTGGGTTGGCTTGGCTTTGCTTTTCTTTCTTTCTTTTTTTTTTTTTAAAGATTTTATTTATTTATTTATTAGAGAGCGAGCGAGAGAGAAACAGCATGAGAGAGGAGAGGGTCAGAGGGAGAAGCAGGCTCCCCGCTGAGCTGGGAGCCCGATGTGGGACTTGATCCTGGGACTCCAGGATCATGACCTGAGCCGAAGGCAGACGCTTAACCAACTGAGCCACCCAGGTGTCCCTTCTTTTTTTTTTTTTTTTAAAGATTTTATTTATTTATTTGAGAGAAAGAATGAGAGACAGAGAGCACAAGAGGGAAGAGGGTCAGAGAGAGAAGCAGACTCCCCGCTGAGCAGGGACCTGGAGGCGGGGCTCTGTCCTAGGACCCTGAGATCATGACCTGAGCTGAAGGCAGACACTTAACCGACTGAGCCACCCAGGCACCCCTTGTTACATCCTTTTGATTGCCCTTGATTTCTTCTCTCTCTAGGAATCCTCCTTCTTACTCCTTAGCCCCAGAAAAGCATCCCCACGCAAATAAACCCATAAGAGGATCCCTGAGTCCGCCAACTGAAACACTTCATCACCATATCCAGGTAAGTAAAGATGAAAACTTACCGTGTTAGTGTAAATATTTTCCTGTAGCATTAGAGATTCTTCTTAATCGTAATTTTGATGGCAATCATCATGTTTCCCCCTGTGGTTCTACACTGTCATGTATCTCATCAATTTCCTACCTTTGGCATTTGGCCACTATTTTCTTTTATCTGCATTATAAATAATGCTGTGATGAACATCCTTATGCAGAAATCTATGCTTGCATTTCTGACTATTTTCTTGGGGTAGATTCTTCGAGGAGAGGAGGGTGAAGACTGAATCAAAAGTCAGGAGGTTTTTTATTTTAAAGGTTTTTGATACATGTGGCAAAATTGCCTTCTGGGGCGTTTGTACCAATTCATAATTTCTTTAGCAATGAATGAGAATTCTGGTGTATTCTGCTCTTCTCTCTTAAACTCATATCAAACATGTCTGCATGTCGCTACAGAGACTTTATAACCATTATTTGTAGTGGCTGCATGAAACTTGATCTCAGTGATGTGCTATAATCATCCTCTCTCAAAAGAGGTTGCTAATTGATGCCGTTCATGCTGGGCTCTCCCTGGCCCTGCCAAATGGAGCGCCTCCATCAAGTCACAGCTGTCTGGAATCCATCTGGCCCTCCTGGGCTGTTCTATCAACTTTCCACATCCATGGGCAGCATTTCTTAGGCACATACTTTCCTTTAATGATACTCCAGGAAACGGGTTTCTCGGAATAAAATCCAGCCCACGGAGGCAACATTGGCCTTTGGCTGGGACAAAAGATACCTCAACCAGCGCATTCATTTCTGCCTGAAAAGAAAGAGCACTGGAATGGGAGTCAGAAGATTTAGGATGAGACCTGTTCTATGTGCCAATCAGGACTTTTCTGGATAGAAACAATGGATAGAAACCTAACTCATACTGCATAAGCAAAAAAGAGAATTTGTTATTTCATATATAGCAGTCTTCCTTATCTTCAGGGGGTATGTTCTAAGATCCTCAGCAGAAGCCTGAAACAACAGATAGTACCGAGCCCTTGTATACTGTGATTTTTCCTGTGCATACACACCTATGATCAAGTTTAATTTATAAATTAGATATAGTAAGAGACTACTACAATAATTATTAATAATAAAATAGAACAATTATAACACTATATTGTAATAAAAGCTTTATGAATGGCTCTCTCTCTCAAAATATCTTAGTGTCCCGTACCCACTGTTTTTGTTGTCATGATGTGATACGTTAAAATGCCTACAAGGTGAGATGAAGTAAGGTCAATGATGTAGGTCTTTTGACATAGTGTTTAGGCTATTGTTGACCTTCTGATGATACATCAGAAGGAGGATTATCTGCTCTTGGTCCATGGTTGACCATGGGTAACTGGACATGGAAAGTGAAACCACGGATGAGGAGGGTGAACCTGTAAATGAAGATATCAGGGGAATTTAGTTTCAAGTGTGGCTGGATCTAGGATTTCTAATAATGCTGCAGCCTTGATCTTGCTCTCCAATATCTCTATTCTGCATCTCTCTACACTGGTTCAATTCTCAGAAGATTGTCCTTTTATAGTCTATCACCAAACATGCTCTTAAAGACCCTAATACAAGGGCCAAATTTTATTTGCTGCCTATTTTTCTAAACAGAATTTTATTGAAACACAGCCATACTTATTCATACATGCATGGCCTATTAATGCTTTTACTCTCGAGCCACAGAACTGAGTATCTGAGAAAGAGACTATAGGTAGCCTGTGAAGCAGTTAATATTTGCTATAGGTCCTTCACAGAAAATTTTTGCTGACACCTGCTCTAGGAGAAGGGTATTAATCCTCATTCTCAAAAATGTCTCCATGCTCGATTGATTATTAGCTCCCAGCCACCCTCTCATTCTTAGTTTCATATCATGGTTTCTACCTAACCTCTTGAGTCTTGGGTCTCGTTTTTTGGACCTTCTAAGTGACTCAGATTGTAATCACTCTAAAATATTTTCCTTAAAGGCCATCTTGACCCTAATGTTAAACCCTGACCCTCAACCCCAATCTAGACTTAAACTTAACCCTAACCTTAATCCTCAGGGAAGTCTGGGACTTTGAGTTTGATAACCACCATCTTAGAATAACTTAATGAGCCATGCTGTTCAATGGATATTGTGTGTATTTTGCACTGAAAGAGGAGAGATGAGAAGAGTTGTATTTACAATTTAAAAAGAAGTGCTTTGATCATCGGAAAGGCTTAGTGTTGCCAAGGCATGCTCTGGCAAATAATTATTTTAAGCAAGTGATAAACATGTTCCTTTATGTTAACATGAAAATACAATCCCTGACTCATTTTCGGGCCATCTGCCTCATTTTCAGAGCCCTCATATTGCGAAGAAGTGCCCGTTAGTGTTTTCAGTGGTATCAGAATGGAATTTTATCCCCTTGAATCCCAGTTGGTGCTGTTAGGATGACCTAACTTCATTCATGATCCTCTGACATCTTGGGTCAACAAAAGTGTAAATGGAAACTGAGGGAAAGGAAAGAATATATTCAAGAAGACATAGGAAAGAGAACCAGGTGGGAGGATGGGAAGAAAGGGAAATAATCAGATAGTAGGTCCCAGGTATCAATCCCATGCCACAATCTGATCAAATCAATCCCCTGCTTTACATTCTTCAATGGCTGCCCAATGTTTACAGCATAAAGGCCAAGTTTCTTTTTTAATTTTTATTAACATATAATGTATTATTTGTTTCAGGGGTACAGGTCTGTGATAAGGCCAAGTTTTTTGATGGCACCCACCACCCAGCATCATCTTGCATACCCTACTCTAGAATCCTGTATTTCAGTGCTGTGGGATTATAGGAAGTTTCCCCAGTGCTTCTGTGCTTTGTCCATGTGCTCCTCTCTTTCTGGAATGCTCTTACTCTTTTTATCTGCCTGGATAAATCTTGCCTGTCCATCAAGATCCTGCTCAGGTATCATCCTCCATCAGGCTTCCTCTGACCCCTTCCATGCTCCTCCTCTGTGCCCCATGCAAACATCAATCACGGTACTCATTCCTTCATTCAGCAAGCATTTACTGGGCTCTGCTCTGTGCCGGGTGCTATGATAGATGGCAAAGTTTAACAGTCAGTTTACCATCTCAATCCCAAGTAGTTGTGGAAACAGATAAATCACCAGGAAACTACCCAACCATGCTGTAATGTGGGAGATTCGAAGGGCTGTGGGCCACGGAGGTAGGCAGCTCCCTGGAGCCTAGGGGCTGAGTGTTCTAGGAGGGCCAGCAGCATGAAGGAAGTGTGCGAGTACACAAAGAGTTTGAAGCCTGGGAGGCATAAAAGCAGTTTGGGAAGTATTAGTTATGGAGGGAGTTAGGCAGGACTTTAGGTCATGAGGGGGTTTGCCAGCCAATATTAAGCATTAGGACTCTGTCCTTAGAACTTCGGGGAAACCACTAAAAGTTTTAAGCCAGAGAGTCATATCATCACATCTGTATTTCGCTTATATTTGTTTTATTTTCTTATTGTCTCCCACACTAGTAATAATATCAGCTAATGTTCCTGGAGGCTACCACAAGAAAGACACAATGTTGAACTCTATATACATCACCTCACTTAAAGCTTGTTACTATCTTATAAGATAGGTACTGCTGTATAAACTTAATAGAGATTCAGAAAGATTAATTAACCTGTTAAAAGTCATGCTTTCAATCATTAGAATAATTCTGCACTTTATAATTATCTAAAAATTGAGATATTCATAGTTGCTACTCGAGAGAACTCAGAGCACATTTGCTTATATGATCTTATTCATCCACTTGATATTCTTAGAATGCTTGTAAAGGCTTCAGTTCTGTTTCATGAATGATGACACCAAGAAAGTGATTTGGCCAGGTCCTGCCAGACATGGTCTCGGTCCACCTGGAAACCAGGCTCTTGAGGTTTACTCCTATATATATATATATTTTTTTTTTTTTGAGGTTTACTCCTATATATTGTTAGCCTTTATGGCTTTGGCTTCACCTCATGAAAGCACGTGGCTGCATTATTCTCTTCAGACAGAGAATCAAAATGATAAGGTTCCCTTCTCCTTGGGGGAGGAATGGGCTGGGTCCCAGAGGCCATGTCCATCGGTGTGCTTGTTCCTGCCCCTCTGATTGGGAAGAGCACATCTGTTCTGGTTGGAGGAACAGAGCACCTTAGGTTTGGGTATGTGAGACCTAGTCACCTACAAGTTGTAGTTGCTGCATTGTAGAGATCCTAGGCTTTCTTCTTTTAATACCTTCTTCCTTCTGTTTTCCTTTTTTTCTTTTTGTTTCTTCTTCCTTCATCATGTTCACCCTCACCAACATCACCATCAACAAACACATTAGCATCATGATCTCTGCTTATCAGGGTCTTACCGAGGCACTGTTGTCTTTGTCACCATGATCACCATCACCATGATCACCAAATCATCATCATCATCACCATCACCCACTACCACATCAACATCAACGCATCACTGTCTCATCTGGGTCTCATCTTTGCATCATTGTTTCCATCATTGTTGTCATCATGGTCACTGCCACTGCCCTCACCCCCTTTCAGTGAGTGCTTGCTCCGTGCCAGGCACCGTGCTGAGCACTTTACATGCCTTATCTCACAGCATCTTCAAAACAAACTTCTGTGCATGGTTACCCCCCTTTTACAGATGACAGACCCGTGTCTTAAAGAGGTGAAATAATTTGCCCAAGGTTACAAAACAGTCACCGCTCTCGGCATTGTCTCTTTCATAGAATTAAGATTCATCCCAATGACAGCAGAAATTTGTTTATTTTTTAGGAATTAAGGAAATTACAAGGTTGCGCTGTCACGCTCTGTGAACTGGAGGCTGCCATGAACCCAGCAAAGGAGATTTAGGGTTATTATTCTCTGGTGGCAGTTGTTCCCTAATTCAGAAGGGCTGTTCTTCTTTTGACTAATCGTTAAATTTATGTTTATGATTATTATTTCTAAAGGGAAAACAAGAGTTGAACCATTTTAGATAATAA